AACGAAACACAGTAATGGAAAATATATCAAAAAACAGAAGGAAAAAGATCAGAACCTTGTTGCCCTGGATAGAACCCCGCACCAGGTGCTTGCCAAGTTGTCATCTTTTGGTTTTGTTTTAGCTGAAAAAGAATCTAATATTACTATAACTAGATCTCTCTTGAGAGAAAAAAAGAAACATCAATGGAACTCCAATCAAGTAGTGTAAATCAATAACTTTAAATATTTATGCATAAAATTTATTAAAGTCAATTTATCCTGTATCAAAAAAGACATAAATGAAGCAATGAAAACAATAATAAAAAATAAAATACACATATATCATATTTTTATTTTTGAAAAAATATTTATTATGGTTAATATTTTTAAAATTCAATACATCTACTAGTTTATCAATTATTATGTTATTTATCAATTGTTATGTCCTTTTTTGTAGCATACCAAAAGAATAACAAAAAAATACAGAAACACATGTTAAATACATAATAAAAAAATAAAAGAGATTAATATTTTACATATTTGTTCACTGAGTCATAGGCAAACACTTGAAAAAGCATATATCCTACTAAAATGTAAAATCTCTGACTCATTCATGATTGTCATAAAAAAAAAATTCTGGATTAGTTCCTGATTGCTGATATATCTTCCTGAATTTTAGCAAATAAAGCGATAACGAAGATTCGACAAAATTGACTGATTACGATCGTATCAAAAAATTTGCTAATAATAAATCTTAATTAAACAAAAAAATTCACTAATTTGTTTTATTATTCATATCATTACTTTCTTTGAAAAAAAAAATGTATTAGTAAGCGAAAGCGAAGATATTGTGAACATCAAGTAAATTATTTCGATACGCACAGGTTATTATTATTATTAATTATTATTGTTAGAATATTAGATATGTTTAAAGAGTTAACACATTCGTATCAACTAGCTATATATACGTAGAAAAGAACTCATACACACTACACTCATACACAAACACTTGATAAGCAATATTTGTTTCATGTTGCATCTCGCAGCAAGCGGCAGCTTAGCTTAATATTTACGACAATCACGTAGACGAAAGTTTCGCAAAAGTTATTTGCGAACACGTAATATCGCGTAAGTGGAACAAGATGTGCAAATTACCGGATTCTTTTCAGATCTCGCCGGATATTTAAACGCAAGGTAGATTATATATTTCTCTTTCCTGCCTCTCTTTTCGTCGCTATAATTAGGAATAAACAGTCACTTCGAGATAACGCGCGATATCGGCTTCGCCGTAATAGTGGTAATCGCGATTAACGACGATCTACTTGTGTACTGCAAAAGTTTTCCTGAAAAATTTACACGTACATACGTGCGCGCGTGCGCGCGCGCACGCAAAGTGCCTAAATCCGTACGTATCCGCGGCAATGTATGAGTGCGCGTGTAATCGCGATGTTACTCGCGATAAGACATCAGTGTCTGTAAAGAGACGTGCTGAATTACCGTGAATCTTATCTAAAAAAAAAACAAAAAAAAGATTACATTCCCAAAAATCTCAAGTCTTTATACAGCACACTTTATCTAGGAGACATCTTGGAAACGTTCTTAATATCTCTTTCACCGTCCTCGATTATTGGAATTAATCGATCGTATTTGTCGACAAACATTTAACAACAAATGCGATTGGTCCATTCCACTGGAATAATCAGCCGATTAAGTTAATCGAAGATGAAAGAGATCCTTGGAATCCTCTGGATGTCTCTAGAACATCCCTTGGAAGTCTGTGTTGTATGGGACTCGAATTATTCGACGTGGTGATACGCCGTCCTTCTGGATCGATTTTTCCACGACGGCAAGGTCGCGCGTGTATCGAACCGCGGTAATCTATTGTGATTACGACAACCGCAGTTTACAGGTCGCCGTTTCCACCGCACGCGATATCGTCGAATTAAGAGGGCCGGGCCCCATCGCCACGAAGCGGTTCCGCGCGCGTGAGGGCCGGAAGAGAAAACGCGAGACGCGCGGGACGACGTAAATACGTCGATCGGATGCGTCACCCCGTCGTCCTTTCTGGAAATAGTCGCAATCGATAGTCGCGTTCGCTCCCCGAATATTGCGATGCGGACGGGTGTGTTATTTACCTCGTTTCACGCGTGGTCCCCGTAACTCTTGTCGGCAGGATCCCGGTTTAGATCGCAGCCTGTGGCGTACACGAAAATGCGTGGCGATGTCGGACAATCGCTCTACTTGCACGGTCGACAATCGGACACAGTCGCACGCAACGTAGCCTACGCGCCCGTGACGAACAGCCGATAAACTCACACTAGCGCGATCGCGCGATCTCGACTAAAGTGCGCCGTCGAACGGTGTGAAGTCAGCCAACTTTGAGCAGTATCATGCGGCGGACGCTTGCGCGTTGCATCGCATTTTCCGTCTGCCTTGTCCACGTTATGTTTCCGCGTAAATCCCCGGCCGATCCTAAGAAATTTTCCTAAGAAATACCCGATCGCGAGCGATCAGGAAGGAATAAAATGAAAGGATAAAATGAAATTATTTGGAATGTGTGATAATGAGATCATATAATGGCAAAAATAAAATAAGAACATTCTATTTTCCTGAGGATGTTGTCACATTCCAACATCACATTAATTGCATATATCTTGAAATTACCTGAAAGAATTCATTAGTGATATTACGGCAGAATGAAAAACAATTATAAATAAAATATTAAAAAGACGTTCAAGCTAATTATAAATTTGTTTATTTTATCAAGTCATTATTGACAATGATAAGTTTACATGATTGCGCAATAGAAACTGTGAAAACAAAAAGATAATAATAATGACTTTTAAATTAAAATTTGAATTTAAAAAAACAATTTATAATTTAAATATTATATTGAATAATAATAATACGATAATAATTAATATAGAAAAATAATATATAGGCCAATTAGTTCTAAGGTAAATTTTACACATATTTCTAAATACATTATTGCTCCAAGAAATTATTAATAAAGCTTTGATAAAAATATTTATCTTTCGATATTCTTTTCTTCCAACATATGTTAATTTTTTACTTATATATATATATATATATATATATATATATATATATATATATCTATAAAATATATATAAAATTCGTTAAAGTTATCAGGAGAATATATTTCAATAAGAGAGAGTCAAAGTTGGAATATGTTATAAAGTCATAAAAAAAAGTTGGCACTGTTATAAATGTTACTAGCTTCTGGTGACATATCTGACCAATGAGAGCATTGTTTCATGAAGTGTACCGTCCACGTGTGTACGATTATGGTTATGTTTACTACACATTATTAAGCATATATTTCAGTTTAATATAAAATTAGACATAAATTAAGTTATAAATTAAAAATAAGTATCCAATTATGGCGCATCGTATACATAACATAAGATTTTACAATCTGAAGCCGAAGGCGGCGACTTGCTTGTGTTACGAACCAAAAACGAAAAAGCTGGCTCTCGCAAGGTTAAATATATTTATGATTGTATATTTAGCATTTATATAAACTAATGAAATGTTTACATAAGAAAATTTTTATGATTTTCTTTTATTTCTTTTTAATTTTTTAAAGGAGTGACAATTCCATAGAAATCTGGAATGTGGAGAATGCACCATTTATTGATTGTACCATAGCTGGTCATGCCGAAAACTCTGTAGAAAGCGTACTCTGGATCGAATCTAGACTATTTTCGACGGGTTTGCATGGTGCAGTGGTCGAGTACGATTTACAAACTCTAGGAATCAAGCATGAAGACATGGTGGTAGGAGGAGCAGCCTGGTGTATGGATGTCAATCAAGAGAAGACTCGCTTGGCTGTTGGCACAGAAGATGGATATATTAATACTTTTGCTGTACATAAAGATAAATTAATTTATGAGAGAATATTTGATAAACAGAAAGGAAGAATTTTGTGTATCAAGTGGGACAACACAGGCGAGATGATATATACAGGTTCTACAGATACTGTTAGGGTGTGGAGCGCCATATCTGGACATGCAATACACAAAATGACGACTTCTAGAAGTAATATTAAAAAAAGCACAATAATTTGGTGCCTTGCAGTTACTGATGACAATATAATAATATCTGGCGATTCTCAGGGCTTCTTATGCTTCTGGGATCCTCATATAGGAGTCCTGATAGAGTCTCATGAAAGTCATACCGCTGATATATTAACTATTACTTTGTCACATGACATGAATGTTGTATATTGTGCGGGTGTAGACCCTGTTGTAAGAAGTTTTTGCAAGGTTATCCTAAAATCAAGTGGAAAACCTCAATGGGTAAAGGGAATCGAGAGGAGACTGCATGTTCATGATGTTAGAGCGCTTGTAGAAGCCAATGGAAAACTCTATTCGACTGGTGTAGATGGGTATCTTGCTGTATCGAGTTATCCACCAAAAAATCTTGTAAAGTATCCACCACTACTACAATCACCTTGTGCCATAATATGTCGAAAATCTAGATGTATCTTGTTGCGATACACAAATTATCTAGAGCTATGGAGACTTGGTTCTGCAACTAAAGATCCTCCAGAATTAGTACGTTCTTCTATGTTGCATCAGTTGGACGAGGAACCTATAAAACTACTGCAATTACAAACAAAAAATGATGAAAGCATAATTTCTTGCGCCATTAATAAAGACTCTAAGACGATCGTGTATTCGACGGACACTCACGTTAGAGTTTTCAATTTCGACGTAGTGGAAGGAGATGCTCAATTATCTAGGAATGATACTGATTTATCCATGAATCGAATACAAAAGATGTTGTTCAGTCCTAATGGCAAGTTATTTGCCGCCATCAACAATGACGGCAACGAAAATACCGTGACGCTGTTCAAAGTAAATAAGAAAAGCTTAAATCTGATCGGTTCATTCCAGACAACAAGGGAGTCTATTAAAAATGTCGGTCCCGTGTGTTTCTCTCCAGACAGCAAGTATCTTGTATGTGCAGACCGGCAACGTGGAATCGCCGTATATTTTATCGGTAATGGTATAACGGCAGAATCGCTCAAGGCATGGCAATTACCCAAGTACAGTTGTCCAGTAACGGCGATGGCCGTGCAGAAAAGTACGCTAAATCTTGTCATAGCGTATTCTGATCATAAGGTAAATATAACGCACCATATAAACTATAGACGATATAACAACTTAAACTGAGTAATACGTGTATCGCGCGTGTATATGTCGACATTAAAATAATGACCGACGCAAATATGGATTATCGTAAAATGCTGCACAACGTTAATGATCTGCGGCAGTAAAAATTCACAATTTATTGTTAATTGCTATTATGGTTTTATTTTTACGCGACGACGTTGCACGTAATTACCTCTATAATCCTATTATTGAATTATCGGTATAAATATTGTGAAGTATAAGTTTATTACCTCGATACGGACCTTATTAAATTTTAAGACGTACAATAAAGTATATTAAAGAACCATATGATCTAAATCCATATGATCGGAAGATTCAAGAGGAAAATAGCTTAAACTTCATATCTTAGAACGAGCACAAAAATGTTCTTAATATTATAAAGTAATTAAGTTTTTACAAAATTCTTACACAAATAATTTGATTTTCAGATTGTCGAATACAACATTCCTACAAAGAAATATACGGAGTTTTCTAACAACTTGCAAAGTCGGTTACCAAAACATTGGTTAGCACGTCCATTCCCGATAACGAACATCATATTTGATACGAACAATGAGAATGTCATAATTATGCAGGATGATTCAAGTATGTATGTTATTAACAAAAACAGTGAATTGCCAGAAGCGAAAGAAGCAAAGATTCCTAAACGTGAAAACGGAGAAAGCGCAGAGGATAGCAATTCTGTTTGCAGCTCACAATCTCAATATGCATTTCAAGTTGCAAAAAAATACAAGGTAACATTATAACTAATTTAAAAAAAAATCGATTTTAAGTAATTTATAATGGAAAGGAAGGAAAGGAAGAATTATGATTTTATTATACTTGCAGCATCTCGTTTACTTAAATTGGTTAAATGATGAAGAATTGGTTGCGATTGAGGTGAATCCTATCTCGCTGATTGAGAAATTACCACCTACGTTAAAACAAAAGTTTTTTGGCATGTAAATATGTGTATATAAAATGCTATTAATAATAAATAAATTTTATATTTATTTTTATGGTTTAAATTTCTATTCTTACATGACTACTTTACTATTTTAGATGTATTATTTTTTTTAACATTATTTTCAATATAGTTGGGAATTCGAATTAATTTCTTATAATAGGGTATCTATTCTCTCAAAAACCAAATTATCAGAAAAGTCTTTTTACTCTTAAAAATTCAGAAATATCAGCATTTTATTACAATTCAGCATTTTTGTTGAAATTTTATCTCTAAATTTAAATTTTGCTTTTGAAGAAAATTTTTGTTAATTTTTGTCAGAACGCGTCAAATAATTGTATGAAATACAATATGCTACTATATGCTACTTCATCCATTCTTAATATTTATTTAAATAATTCGAATCTTCTATAAGAAATAATTATCGCTGCTTTGAATAGTCGTTCTTTAGAATATCATAAGATGGTTCTTCGATAGTTCTCTGCGCATTGTGCTCACAATCAGTTTTGAAACGCGCTACGGTAATCATAAAATAGAATTGCATTCAAATTCATTCTATATTTTCCACAATTGTTGATAAAATCTTAGGTGTGAACAATTATCTCCAATGCTTGTTACAAAATTCAATTCTTATCGCAATACGTCGTATTATTGTTAGTATGTTTTTACGTAAAGTTCCTGTTATTTCGATATTAATAATCTTTTTCGTATATAGAATTCGTCGAGTACATCCTGTTTTCGCGCATTTAATCGAAATACATACGTCAGAATAACAATGAGCGCATAATTATTGTCAAATATCGCACATTTTTATTTTCGAACTGATTATACTTCAACATTTGCCACTTCGACCATCTCTAAAATATTCGCTAAAATATTTCAAATTTAATTTCTACGGGAGGTAACTGGATCGCCATTTTATCGCTGCTTTGACGGCTGTCGTTGCTTCGAGAATAGTAAGATGGCTCTTCGATAGTTTTCAAACTGCGCTCAGTCAGGAAATGCGTCGCGGCGACTATAGAATAGCTTTCAAATCCATCCTAATTCTGTCGCAATTCCCGCGATTGTCACTGCCTGTAAATAAATCCTATGCTCAAATAATCATTTTAAGTGCTTCTTGTAAAATCAGATTCTTCGCAATGCGTCTAGTATTGTGTGAAGTTCCTGTTATAATTTCATCTTTCCTGGAACCGTTCGTTCTCTATGGAATCCACTGAGCATATTTTCTGCGCTGAAGTACGAAATCGAAAACTATTACCAGGTGAGTACTTTTATGTTTTTTATGTTGAACTGTGTCAATCATATTATTTTTATTTCATGTTGTTGTCATATGTTATTTCCATCATTTTTAAAATATCTGCTAAACTATTTTGGATTTTACTTTTCCGCGAAATAACTGCAGCCATTTTGTTTCGACCTTTCGATACTTCGAGAATCGCAATATCGAATACTGGTCGGTCACTGAAAAATGTTGCATTCAAATTACTTATATTTTTCCGCAATTATCTGTAAATAAATAATTATTGCGAATATTTTTTTTTCGAAATGTCCTAATCTAATACATAATGTCCTAACCATGTTTAATCATTATATAAATTATTGTAGCGATACATATGCGATATATAGCGTTTACGCTGCAATTAATTGAAATTATCTTTGCACGTTATATTCTCTCGCAAAATGCAAATCGCGCATTACCATGTATATATGCGTATCGTCATGCATAAATTAGCTGCGTTGATTATACTTCATAATACTTCGTTGCTTTGACTATTTCTAGCTCTATTTAAACACTTTGAACGTTTTATTTTTTATTAATTTTTTCCTGTTACAGAAAATTTAGTCTACAATTAGTCGACAATTTTAGTATTTTGAAAATCGCTTCTATATTTTTGAAATTCGCAATTTTGCACTTAATTTAACACTGTCATTTCCGTTCGTATATATTTGAATAATTTGTTTAAATATAATTTATATTATTAAATTTTTTAAAATATTTATAATTATTTTAATGTATCTACAATTATCTTTCGAATACTATATTAAATATTTTTGTAATTTTTGTGGACCAAAGATGGCGATAAGCGTTTCTCAATTATCTTCAATTACTTGATAATCATGTATTAAATTTATGCAAGGTCAGCGACAATTAATATCATGGATGATATAACTAAATAGTCAATATAATTAATTTATTTTAACTGATCTAATTTAAATTATCTTAAATTATCTTTATGTGATCTGAATAAAATTTTTCATAATGAAGCTATTTTTATTAGCAATATTTTATATATGAATTGATTCTTCATTTTTTTCGTTTTTTTCATTAAAGAATATATTTTGTTTCATATAAAAAGTATATTTGAAGCATATTGTTATACGACCACTAAGCGACAGACCAGTGAAATTATGCTAATAAAGACCATTTTTCTATCCTCTCTATCATTCAAGAAAGAAATTATACGCAATTTCAAATACGTACGTATTAATATGCCATGTCCAGATGAATAAAATTTCTTTCAACCTAAGAAGATAAATTTTTGTTCCGTGGGGCGCAATTCCGGAGTATCCGTGGGAGGTTCGATGGTCCATTTTGGCGAGATGTACAGACGTCCGGTGAATTCCAGGCTGTATTCCGCGCGGGATGAACGATAGCCGATCTGGGCGGATGTCGTCCTGGGGAAAGCCGGTGAAGCTTTCAAAGGAATCGGCGAACGTTCGGCCGCGTCTTCCGGGCGCTCGAAAGTGTCCACCGGAAGTCCCGCTTTTCTGCATTCCTCCGCCAGCACCTACGGTCAGTGACACGGCGGGCACATTGAAATTCGTCTGCTCGCGTACTCTTTCTTCTTTTCTTTTTTCTGCCGTACGCGACTTGCCAACCGACAGAGTTTTTTAAGGTACCTGACTGAAAAATTGCCCGGTCAGGTGCTCGTACCTCTGCGGCCACATCCGCCGCGACAGATTTTCGAGGAAATTCATTTCCTTGCTAAAATATTAACGAGATAATCATCTTATTAACATATATAAAACAGAGTCTACGTGTATGTTATTATGCATGAGTACACTATCAAAGCGAAACTATTATTACACTCTCGATGGCAAATTACCGAATATTATCAGCGGCCACTTCGTTTTTAAAGACATCGCGTTTTGTGGGGATCACTCTTTCGACCACCTTCTTGCTTTCTTTATCCTGCTTTTCCTCAGACATTCGGACGGATATTTTCTCACACGACGAACAAAGTCTTCGGCATTGAATTCGATCCGAGGCGTATGCGCGGTTTGTTCGATATCTCGGATTGTTACTATAGTTATCACGCGCGGTAATATTGAAACTTCCAACTCGCATCTTCTGGGATAAACGTAAAACTTTCCTATCGCCCTCGCGAATTATGTCGTAAATAAAATCCCTGTAAAGAAAACGTAAAATGTCCAAAAAGTTTCTTTTTATAGGCGATTTCGAATTTTCGAGTTTTATCAAATATCGATGCAATTTTTTTATACTTCCCATAAGTTTTCCAATTTTGCCGTATTTGAAACCATTCCGAGGAAGTATTGAGATGATGAGGTAGGAATAGGAATTTCATCATTTTAGGCGGAGATATCTCGTTAATCTGTTATCCGGTGTAACGTCTGTCGCGATCGTGGTAATTCCATGGTCGTAGAGCTAGTGGAAACGGGAATGAGCACCGAGAATCTTCTTCGATTGTCGAAGTGGCCGGGAAATAATCAAGGTAGCGTCTATCTGGGTGTCTGCATCGGCGAGACGTCCCAAGTCGATGTTCGGGTATATGAGAATGTACGACCGAAAGCTATATACTGTGTAGAGCGTACATCAAGAGAGAGAGAGAGAGAGAGAG